GCCAAAATGTCAAAAAAAGTCATTGGTGGCTGATATGCCAAATTCGCCGCTAATTGCTAAAATGCCAAATCGGCCACTAGTGGCTAAAATATCAAATCAGCCACTAGTGGCGAAAATGCCAAAACGGCAGCTACTAGCCAAAATGTACGGTGGCTCTCAAGGGCCATCCACCTACAAAAATTTTCATGACTTTATCGCGCGATAAGTTTTGCTAAGTCCATTCATTCAAAAAATTTGCAATCAACATTATCGCGCGATAGATAAACTTATCGCGCGATAGAACAACTTATCGCGCGATAGAACAACTTATCGCGCGATAGATAATATCATCGCGCGATAATTTTACTACTAGCTCCTATGGCCCCACGACCATTAGCACGTGGTCACATCCATAGCAAGATGGCGGACCAAGTTTCGAACGTGAGTAATTGTCCAAGAAATAAAGACTTTTATTCTTGATTTTTGAGTAAGAGACGGTAATCTTTGGGTTAAATACAATTATATTTCTATGCTTTCTACGCCTTGTATTCATAAACAATCTTTCACCTTATACACCTTACATAGTTTAAAAACGTATCCCTACACCTTATATTCATAAACAATCTTTCAAATATATAGCAATAAAGTCCCTCTCATATCTTTAACCCCACTTACTAAGATAGCATAGAAATATAATTTCATTTAATCCAAAGATTACCGTCTCTTGCTCAAAAATCTAGAATAAAAGTCTTTATTTCAAAACTTGGTCCGCCATCTTGCTATAGATGTGACCAAGTGTTAATGGTCGTGGGGCTATGGGAGCTAGTAATGAAATTATCGCGCGATAATATTATCTATCCCGCGATAGAACACTCTATCGGGCGATAAGTTGTTCTATCGCGCGATAAGTTGTTCTATCGCGCGATAAGTTTATCTATCGCGCGATAATGTTGATTGCAAATTTTTTGAATGAATGGACTTAGCAAAACTTATCGCGCGATAAAGTCATGAAAATTTTTGTAGGTGGATGGCCCTTGAGAGCCACCGTACATTTTGGCTAGTAGCTGCCGTTTTGGCATTTTCGCCACTAGTGGCTGATTTGATATTTTAGCCACTAGTGGCCGATTTGGCATTTTAGCAATTAGCGGCGAATTTGGCATATCAGCCACCAATGACTTTTTTTGACATTTTGGCCACTTCTGGCCGTTTTGGCATTTGGACCAATATTGGCCACTAGTGGCAGATCCTGTATTTTGGTTACTAGTGGCCAAATGGCATTTTGGCCACTAGTGGCCGATTTGACCTTTTGGCCACTAGTGACCGATTTGACCTTTTGGTCATTAGCGGCCGTTTTAACATTTTGGCCAGTTGTGGCCGATTTGGCAATTTGACCACTAGTACTAGTGGCCGATTGTGCATTTTGGCCTTCAGTGGCCGTTTTGGTACTCTCGCCACTAAAGGCTGTTTTGCCATTTTGCCCACTAGTGGCCAAAATGTCCAGAGGGCCACCAGTGGCAAAAATGCCAAATGGGCCACTAGTGGCCAAAATGCCAAATTGGCCACTAGTGGCTTAAAATATGAAGTTGGCCATTAGTGGCCACAATGTCGAAACGGCCACTAGTGGCCAAAACGCCAAATCGGCCGCTTGTGGCCAAAATGCTTAAACGGCCGCTTGTGGCCAAAATGCTAAAACGGCCACTAGAGGGGAAATTGCCAAATAGGCCACTAGTGGCCAAAATTTTTAAACGGCTACTTGTGTCCAAAATGTTAAAACGGCCACTTGTGGCCAAAATGGCAAAAGGGCCACTAGTGGCCAAAATGCCAAAAGGTCCAGTAGTTGTGAATAGCGGCCGTTTTAGTATTTTAGGCACTAATGGTCGATGTGGCATTTTAGCAAGTAGTGGTCGATTTTTCATTTTGCCCATTAGTGGCCACTTTGGCATTTTGGTCGCTAGTGGTCGTTTTGGCCCTTTGGCCACATGTGGGCGATATGGCATTTTGGCCAGTCGTGGCCGTTACGTTTTAGCATTTTGGGCTTTAGCGGTCAAGTTGGCAATTTGGCCACTTGTGACCGATATAGCATTTTGCCCACTAGTGGCTGATTTTGAATTTTGCCCACTAGTGGCCATTTTGGCATTTTGGCCACTAGTAGCCAACTTGGCATTTTGGCTATTGGCGGTCGTTTTCGCACTTTGACCACTAGTGGCTGATTTTTCATTTTTGCCACTAGTGACCATTTGGCATTTGGCCACTAGTGGCCGATTTGGCATTTTTGGCTAGAAGTAGCCGTTTTTGGCACTTTGACCAGTGGCCCATTTGGCAATTTTGCTCTTAGTTGCCGATTTGGCATTTTTGCCACTAGTGGCCGATTTGTTCGCTCACCGACATAAACAAGGCGCGACTTGTTACGATTTTATTGTTTTGACCGGGCTGGAGTGATCATAGGACCAACAAGTCATTTGACCTGCTTATGTGAATACGTCAAAGTCTTTCAGGCAAAGGAAAGAGTGAATGTACAAAATTTCCAAAACCAAATTAATTCGGTTGACTGGTCTCTAACGAATGACCCTTAAAAATTGCATCACTTTTAGGGGGGAATCCTCATACCATATTTCGGGCCGCGAACGCTAAGCTCTTCGCTGATAAAACAACTTTAAAATGGATCCAAATTGCAAGGTTGTAGGAGAATAGCAAGATTTACTAACACGTCGCCTAGTCAAATGAATAAAGTAGAAGTAATCCACAGTCAGACAAGATTATTTCCTAACTCCCCTAACCCCTCGCCTGGTCTAACACAAAAAGAAATCGGAAGACAAATGTATAAAACAGAAGTAGCCCAAAATCACCCAATTTTAGCCTGTGGTATAATGATTCTATATGTACTTATTTTCCCACTGAACACGACTAAAGCATGACAGAACCTGCATTCTTATATCCAGAGTTTTAAAGCATAACATCGTCTGATTTCATGGCTTGCAAGACACAGACTCATCGGTATGGTAATATCGTCATGAAGAATTTACATCTTATTAAAGAACATTCAGTACATTCTGGTCGAACGTAATGATCAACTGACCAAGAAAGATCAAGTTTTGCCTTTAAAGGCGGGACCGGAAAAAAGGGGTCTGCATGGTTTGGAAGTAGAGGTATCTTGTTACAGCATAGTCACTTTGCTCTCTTCATTATTACAGAAAGGTTACTTGACCCTGTATTGGTGTCTCCTCGCATTGTTTAATTAAAGCGAACATCTACACATGACCATGGTGTGCATGAGGTCATGTAGAATTTTTAATTTTTTACCATCTGGATCACGATTTTAATCTTCCTCTTGGGCCACGCGAAATCCGCCTGAAGTTGCACCCACAGAAAAGGGCGAAGGTCCAGCTCCGCCCGGCGTCATATCGTGACGTCATTTTCGTAAATCCGAGACAATCTCGATGTCGTTTCGTTAGATGGATTTCGTTCTCGAATGACTATTTGTTTAACATAGACCGCGAAATGATCATTGAACTATACGTGATTCAGTGGATTTAAATTCCAACACTGTGTTGATGAAACAACTTTCTGAAACATGTGCTAAAAAGGAAGGATTGTTTTCGCTTTGTTGGGGGAATGTGACGAAATGTGGAACCCTTTTGTGGAAAATAATGGAGTGATTTGATCAACACCGTGTTACAGCTGCTCATTCCAAAGTCAAGTCGTCTCTAGCACGATTAACATCGAAGTTGAACCATGGCAAAAGATCAGGAATTACTTCAGGCGGCAAAAGCCAACGATCTTAATGCATTCAGGAAGATAGTGGCGAAAATAAAAGCGGCCAAATCAAGTGAGTACCTCTTCAACGCAAACATATCAAAGAAGCTTATTTCCGAACGAGTTTCACTTTTAACAACGATTTCAAAATGTTCGGCATAACAACCCCATTCATTAATGTTTAATGTGGTCATTACTGAAGTTTGCCGATGGTAACTCAACGTTAATATGGCCTTCGTGCTTTAAAACATCGTTGTCTCTTAGCGTTAAATCTGGTTTGTTTCGCAAGATTTCTTCTTCACGTTCGTTTGTCTGAAAGGTGATGACGGATTCCTGGTCGCCTTCGACAACTCTAGCTATTTATTTTGAGTAGCCATTTGAAAATTAGTCATGCTTTTAGAAACAGTAAATTGGGCTTTGTATGAAACCAGGAACGCTCCGTTATACTATCGCACTATCTTGACTACAAATTTTGGCCCGACGGAAATTTTATTAGTGTTTCAGCTCTTTTTTAGTGTCTCGGATAATTTAGGAAGGATATTGAGTCCGGATGTCTATGGCATGCCAAAAGGCGAAACAATTACACATTTAGGCCAAATATTCTCTTTCATTCTGATAACAGTGCAACGGATGCGTTCAGAACCTTGGTTGGTTGATTATAAATGTATCTGCTTCTTTAATCTTAATGAATGCAAGGCTAAGTGATTAAGAAGAGATCTTAAATTCATTTGATTGGATATTCTCTTGCTGACAAAAAATATTATGAATGGTTTTAAGTGATCCATTTTACGTTCCAGTTTTCTTAATGCTTCGTTGAATAGTATGTGTCTACAAACGTGCCCATTTGTTTATTTTATGTTTTTCTAATTATCAATAAGAAATACTTTGCTTTGTGTTGAGAAAATTCCTCTCCAGACATTTCCAACTGTTTTTTTATTTTTTGTCCTCCTGGCAGTAATTCTAGACAATATAGCACAGCTTTTATATATTGCCTGATTTTTAATTAGCAAGTATGAGAGATGTGAATGCTCAGACCCTAAATTAAATAGATATTCTATTTAGAAATAGTAAAATCAACAACAAAACAAAGTTTCCATGGCTTGTAGTTTCATGCTTGAAACTACAAGTCACAGAAACTTTGTTTCGTTGTTGATTTTACTATTTCTGTTTATGCTCTACTTTATGTATTGAGCACTATACAGCCAGCTAAACCATCTCCTCCAAATAGATATTCTATTTATAGATCATTAAATGCACAGTACTGTGTACAACAACTTAACAAGATATGAACATGTCTATAGATTTAGAAAGATTCTCTAAATATGTTATGATACAGTAATTTCACTTTAAAAGCAATGTGTTATTTTTGTATTAAGGCAATGTGATTATTAGTGATTATCTTCATTTTGTTACACTATGCAGCTCAATTTGGTAAATTAGGTGTTAATGCATGTAATAATCATTATGTAAAATTTCACTCAGTAAGGCCATTTATGCCAGCGTGAACGTAATATTTTGGGTGAAAAATATTCTTGTTCATCGACGAAAAAACAATTAATGATGAAAAAAAAGGAAGGCTTGAGGCAGTTCCTTTATCTCTTAAATGAAAATATTGAACTAATTAAACTTTCTCCTTTCATGTTGGACTTTCTAAGATGGGTTCAAGGATATATTGCGACAGTGCCAATTTGCCTATGTACCACAGATTGATATCTTATTTTAAAGTGAAAATAACTGCATTATACCAACATAAAGATGTCTCCAAAAGTATAAGTATGTAATATTCATTTACAGTGCATTTCCTGTAGAAATGATCCAGATATTGTTGTTTGGTACCTGTGTAGAAACAACATGGAGTTGTCTAAACTTCAGTTTCGTTGGTAATCCTGTTGGTGGTAAATGAAAGGAAATCAACAGCATAAGTAGCAGCAATAACTGTTTGACAGTTGAAGTAATTCTTTTGAGTCTAATGATACCAAATTTCAAAATTTAAAAGTAGAGCTCTTTGTCTGTGGTTTTTAAATAAAATGTATGTTTTTCTTCAGAAAAAGGTGGCAAGAAATACAGTGTAAATATTCAGGATGAAGAAGGGTAAATAAATGTTTTGTTTCGTTATTTGAATGCTGCAGCAGCTGTAATCTGAAGTGGCCTCATTTTGAATTCTTGCACAAAACCAGTCAAACAGTGTGGTGTGCCCTTAAGAAAATGGGGGAGGCTCCTAGTTGTGACAGAGATGCGGTAATGAATTTGCTTAATGAATGTTGTTTTTCTTTTAACTCTTTAACTCCCAAGATCTGATCGTTGATTCTCCCCTCTAGTTGTTACACTTTTCCTAATAAATAATTTATGGGAATTTGGTGTTAGATTAAGAGAAAAGATTACAGCTGATAAGTTTGAAAAGTAGTGTGCTAACGTGCTAGTTGAAGAATGGATGGAACCACATTGACAACTACAAACTTCTCAGTTTTCAAAGCTTCTTTGTCTCTTTGTTAGAAGTGACCTTAAATAAAACCCTGCTGGGAAGTGGTTAAAATGTCCAAGTATCTAATTACTTGTTTCATTAATTGATTTTATATCAGTTCTGAGCAATTTTCTCTGAGATATGTTTCATTTTGTTTGCCAGCTTCACACCCACCCATCATGCAAGTCTTAGAGGCAGCAGTGAAATTGTCATTGCACTCATTGAGTTGGAGTGTGATGTCAATGCTAAAGATAAGAAAGGTAACAATATAAATATACCTGTGTTTCAGCAAAATATACAATGTAACAAACTTGAACAAGGGGGGGTAAGTTTTTAAAGAAACTGTGGCACTGCATTGGTGGGAGTCACAAGGTCATTTTGGTATTATCAACTGAGTTGATAATGTAAAGTGGGCACCAAAAAGAGTTTCGATGCTGAGGTTTTGAGCGCTAGCCCTGCGTCAGAGCAAATGACAAATTCATCCTGATGAAGGGCTAACGCCCAAAACATCAGCTTAGAAACTCTTTACGGTGCTGTTTTGGCTGACAGGTTACACAAAAGGTAAAAGGTATCAACTACAGAATTAATAATGCAAGGTAAACAATTAAAAAACACCTAAGATTGACTACGAGTAAACTGCCTTTTTAACCAAAACAGTAGCAGCATGCTACTTTCTGTAGTCACCTCTTTGGCCCTTTTTAGCAGGGCTCCCACACGCGCATGAGGCAGAGCCCCATACCCATGGAATATGGTCAACCTCTTTTCATTTGGTTGTCACATGACTGACCGAGCATACGTACATACGTGCCTTCAGATTGCATGGGTAGGGTGGGGGAGACTATCTAAATGAAGGGAGGGGTGTCTCACGCAAGTCTTGGCAAATGCACATCTTTTATGTTATCATTAATATTACTAACTTGGGAGCTCCGCTTTTAGGCTTGGCTAAATCTATATATTAACTCTACTACAATTACATGTGTAGTTTAAAGGTAATGGAAAGTACTCACTTTTCCTCAATCATACTGGAATGTTTTGTCTTTTTTTTATTACAGGAATGACTCCATTGCACTTAGCAGCCTGGTCAGGAAAAGTTGAAGTAACAAGGTTGTTGTTAGAGGCTGGAGCAGAAGTTAACTCTTGTTCACAAAATGGAGACACACCTCTTATTTTAGCTTGTCAGCATGGAAATTCTGATGTGGTATGTACACAGATAATTTTAACCTTTCTGTAGCTGGAAGAAAAAGTAATATAAAGTTTGAAAGACCAAGCAAAAGTGGTCAAAGAATAAAGTGCATTGCAAAGTTTTGCAAAACATGGATTGATCCCGAAATCCTAGCCTAGTTGGTTCTTGGAAGTAAACCTACAGTATGTACTGTAGAAATTGTGTCAATCAACCAGAAAATATGTTTCAACCAAAATTGATTTTTCTGAGGTTTGTTATCTTTGTTATAGATGCACATGTATTCCAGTGAAAGCCTTAGTACAACTAGTGTTAAACAGTCAACCTATGCAGAGTAGAACTTATGACATTTGTTTTCCTCAACTTCATGGAGAACGTGTATGAATATACATACTTTTTTAAAAGAGCCAGTCTCAGTAATGTTTTGCATGTACATTTTCTGTTTGCCTAGCACCCGATCTCCCTAGAGTTAAACAGTCATTGTTAGTAATGATTTCTTTTTGCAGGCTGATGTGCTTCTAGACAGGAAGTGTAGTACATTGGCGGTTAACAATAACGGAGAGGCTGCTTTGGACCTTGCCTGCAGATTTGGACATGTACACGTGGGTACCACATTTCTCACTTGTTTCTTTGTCTCCACCTCAAACTTCCAGGGGTGATGGAAATGCATTCTTCCTTCTCCTTATAAAACTGGTACATTATCTGGCAAATTGGATCAACTTACTAGCAAGAAGGTGGTCTACTTTAATTATATAACCTTGTTGCAGTAATGTTGTTCAAGAACAAAAGAAATAAGCAAAAGTGATAAAAATGTAGAAAGTCAACAAAGGATGCTAGCCCTTAATCACCAGCTATGTGACTGAATTAAAAAAACAACAACAACAAAAAATAGGAAAGGAGACATTTGTAGGTGTGAAAGTCAAGTTGAATTAACTTTAGTTTTTTAGACAAGGAAATATTTTGATCTTTCTAACATGAGCAATTCATTATACAGAGGTAAGGAAATTGTGAGGTAAAACAATTCTAAAAGAGTTATTCAACTTGATAGATGTAGTCATGCAGTCCTTGTAGACAGGCTTTATTTGTGATGAAGTGTTCTTTGCTATGTTTATGCCCAGGTTGTTGAATTGTTACTTAACTGCAGAGAGGTAAGGAGTGCATTGGCCACTGGTGCAGTGCAGAGAACAGATCCACCATTACATGCAGCATCAAAGACAGGTCATGTAGAAATAATTAGGTGAGAGTTAAAGAAGCTGTTGTATTTTTTTCATGATACACCTTATGGCTCTGCCATGGCAAAATTTAGTTAGTGTTATTTTTTATTGTTATATATATTTTTTTGATTATTGGTAATGTGTTTGATACCAATTTCAATAAAGAAATATTTGAACTGCCTCTGCTCTTTAAATTCCACACTGGCTATCAGGTGTTCTCAGAAGTTTCTGGTTTGTAATAGTCCCTCATAACAGTATAAGTCATTTTCAGATTCTTAATTATTCTCCACACAGAATGTTATTAGAAGCTGATGCAAATATCAATCAAGTTACAAGTAATGGTTCATGCCTACATGAAGCAGCTCTCTATGGTAAAACAGATGTGGTCAAACTGCTGCTTGATGTAAGTGAAGTAGTCAGTACTATTTGTTTAAACACGTTTCCTGGCCACAAAGGGAGAGATTGAAGTTGTCACAAACCATATGGAAGTAGGCTGATAGTTTCTAGAGAAACTGTTTGGGGCTGTGTCGGTGGGGGTAACGAAATAATTTGGATATATGAACAAAGTTGAAATGGTAAATTGGCCACCGTAACGATTACAAAAGCTGACGTTTCGAGCGTTAGCCCTTCGTCGGAGCGAAGGGCTAACGCTAATCGTTACTTTGGCCAATTTACCATTTCAACTTTGTTCATATATCCAAATCATATGGAAGTAGCTATAGTCTGTTTCGGCTTATCCACGTTTTTTAGCAGAAAGTGATAGAGTTTGGTAGAGTGATCTTTGAAATTCTTTAAAGCAACCGCTGAAGAGTTTGAGAATTTTTCTTATTGGCGTAGAAGTAATCTGTTTTTGCCCCACCCACCTAACTGCGAGTAAATCAAGATGTACCTGTAGATGTAGTAACATTTGTGGGACAGATATATGAAATGGTGCCCTAATAACTCCCTTAACAAAGACCACAATTCAGGAGTATGTAATCCATGTTTACTGTATTGCTTATTTTGTCTCTTTCCGTTTCAGTGGGGTATCAAAGCAGATATACGAAATGGCGAGGGTCACACGGCACTTGATGTGGTTAATCTTTTCACGAGTTCAAAAGCGTCAGCAGTAATTAAACAACTATTGAAAGGTAATTTGTTTCATCAACATTGAAGGCTTCGTTTACGAATGAAGATTCCATTTTCTTCAATACTGTAGGGTTTGCTTTGCCAAACGGTTTTAAAGGGCCTACAAGAAGAGTTACACGAGCTGTGGAAATTAATCTCTCTCTCTCTCTCTTTTAATATCACGAAAACTTGCTCAAATTTATAGTGGGCATAACTTCGGACTGGAGAAACGTCCTCCATAAACTATCGTCATGTATTAAACTGCACATGGTATCCTTAAATTGGTAATCCGTTTGGACAAAGGATTTGGCATTTCTTTGTCAAAACAGTTGTTTGTTTAAATGTTTTAGATGCAGCCTCTGCAGATGGCACTGTGTACGCTAAAGCGGTCAGGGATCATTTTAACATGATGGATTCTACAGCTCTTCCATTCAAGACTGGCGAAACAGTCATCGTAAGAGGCTGAAATATAACGCTTTTCATTCGGTTCCCTACTTTCTCTTGTACAGTCCTCTTGGATCTTTCTGTGTTAGACGATTGTACATTCTAGTTTAATATGTCATATGCCCACCTTCAGTTTTTTGTTGATCGCGAAATTTATATTTTCTCTTTTTTTCAATAAACGACAAACTGTTATGTGTAAAAGAATGTGGACACTTGTTGTGAGCCTGTTGTTTTGATTTTTATGAATGTTTGCTCAAGGTGCTGGAACAAAACCAGAATGACCGATGGAAAGGGAAAATAAAGAATGGAGACGTAAGTTTTTTTTAGTGTAATGATGTTCAATAACTTTACTTCTCACTTGCCAACCGTGTTCTCATTGTGTTACTTTATTCCAGTATCATCGCGTGTGTATATTCCGTTTTTGTATTTGTTGTGGATGCTCTCAGGATCGTTTGGAAAAGGTCAACATTGTTAGCGACAAAGTAATTCAAAACTAATTCTAGTATACATAATTTCCATTTGAATTTCAGAGGGAAAATGTTGGATACTTCCCGGCTAACTTTGTAAGAATTACCGCCTTAAGAAGAGGGTCTGGTGGTGAGTACAGTAAAAAATATTCAGAGTAATTTACATGCGCATTTGAAGTACATCAACCTGTAGATACTTTATGCCTGATTTCCTCCAGTATACCAGTTCAAGATCTAAAAGATCGACGTTTGACTCAATTAAGTTCGTCTTAGGTGATTTGGCCATTCCCTGGCAAGGATCCAGTTCCACCCAAGAATTCAGTTGAAGTGACAGTTTACTCTTTTTATCATCTTACGGGTTTCTATCATCTTACGGGTTTCTATCATCTTACGGGTTTATGTCGAATTAATTTGATGGCTTGCTCCCAGTTAGGTTGTTAGCTCAATTGGTAGAGCACTGCACTAGTATCGCAGAGGTCAGTGGTTCGAATCCCGTACAGGCCTGAATTTTTTTCAGGTCTGATTTTCACTATTGCTTAAATAGTGCTTTACTGCCAAGGATCGTGCACATATACGTTTCGTTCTCTTCAATTTAGCCAAGAAGTCACCAAATCCTAAAGAAGCTGGTGTAATACCGATGGGATCGTACGAGACGATCGCGCTACCGTCAGGTATTTACTAAATGGCGGCTTTTTAAAGGGTTAAGGTGAAATGGAGAAAGACATGTCCGATTTTCAGAACTCAAACGATAGTTTTCTCCAAATCCCCTATTTCTCCTTGTCCACTGGGTAATCGCTCCTCTCCTCTCTCCCTCCTTATCCCCCCAACCCTCCCTTCCCCCCTAACACATTTCTTCCCATTTTTGTCGCACCTTATCACACGAGTTGAACACCGACCATTTTCAGCCAGATGAAAAAAGCCCTTTTTATGCCAGCAGTGGGTTAATTAAGGAGCTCATAGACTCTTCTAACGGCAGCATATTTTAAAAATACGAACAGTATAGGAGAACCATGTCAATAATCAGCCAGCCTATATTCTTTGATTAGCAAGTTACAGCTGCTATTACATGCTATTTTCAAAATACCACTGGCAATTAGCAGAGATGATCGATAATTGGAGCTTCGATTCAGTACTGGTTTTACATTGTTTTTCTAGTGCCATCCTCTCCTGGTTTTCAAAGGAACTCTCCTCGACTTAGAAGTTTTGGTAAAAAAGATCATCGCTTTCGAGGTGATCAAGACATGGAACCCAACAAGGTGCTCGTCGAACCAAATTTACCTGGTAAAGGAGTCAAAGCTAACAAAGGATCTGTTAAAATGGCAGCCGGTCTAGGCCTGCAGTATGTGGAGGTTGCGGTTGATAAACCTCCTCTGTCTCCTCCTCAGGCCTCTACAGCGGGTAACAAATTGAGCAACAAAACGAATTACGCAGAGGTTCGTCTACCAACATCGAATGGATCCGTGGAAGAGGTGGATGAAAGCGATGAGCCTCCACAGCTACCAGATAAAGGAAATAAAGAAACAACTGCCTCAAACGAGATGGAAGATATCTGGGTTCGAAATACGTCCACTCCCCCGCCTTCTTTGCCACCTAAAGCAAGGGCACTATCAAAAAGTGATCCTTCCACTACTGCATGCGATTCGATCGAGCTTGGAGCTAAATCAGCAAGTCCTCCTGCATCTCTACCACATTTCGCGGAACAGTCACGTCCAGAGGGTCCGCCTCATGCGAACGTTACGGGTCTTAATGCCACTGAGCGACCCGCGCGGCGGGTCGCAACTCCCGAATTGTCGCGGAAAGGATATGAGGACATGAGTTTAACTCCAGTATCTGGGGGTCGAGCGACGCCTCCTTGTGAAGACATATGGAAACTTCAAGCCCATAATATTAAAGAACATCCTCCGAAGCAAGGGCTTGCTTACGAGAACGTGCAACTAACACACCGAGCAAAGCTGGCCAGTGATATGCAAAGCATGTTGATCTGTGATGTCGACCAACCGGGGAAGAGTGTGGGAGCAGACGGTTATGTATTTGTTAATGGACCTTCTTCAACAACGACAACAGATTCCAAAGGCTACGAAAATGTTACGCCAAGTGCACCAAAACCAGTTGAACCCGGGTACGTGAACATTCCAAATGAAGTCACTTACCTAGCTATGACGGGTGGTGTGTCTGCTGACTCGACAACAACGAGAACAAGTAAACAGGCACCAGACGAGGACAATGAAGACACAGACAATGGTAAAGATGACACTCGGAAACGTTGATCTAATTTGGGGTTGTATCGATTTTAATTTACTTCGCTTTGCGATTGGTTTGAAAAAACAACGCTTCTCTTTCATCCAATCACATGTAAAAATTAAAGTGAAGCCAATCGCGACTTATCTCTCGCATTTCCTCGCTCTTGATGCCATTTTTGTTTCTTATTTTAAGTTATTATAGCCTCTCTGTAATTTTTATCTTCGCTCTGATTGAGCATTGCGAGTTACTTTGGCTTTAGTGGAGGGAAGATTGGAACGAGATAGGGTTTGTCGCGTTTTGTTTCCAGTGCACGCTAATAGGGACGTACGAGGGAAGGAGAGAGAAACCTGGTATTTAAAATATAAACCGGGAATATTTCATCACCCACCAAACCAAGAAAAACAACCAAAGTCTAAGAAGACAGTTTTTATCGGCTTATAATAGTGATCCGTTTGCACTTGAAGCGTGTTCTTACGAAGGGATCGGCATATCAGTCCTGACCTTTTATGTTCCATCTCTCTCTGCAGACGAAAGTAAAGATGGAATGGATTACGAGCTGATGAACAGCTGTCCTCATTCGATTAGCCATCAGTACGTCAATATCAGCCGACAGGGTATGTACTTTCAAATTATTGTACCCCATCCAAGTGACCTAACGACTGGGGAATCATTCGTTAAGCTTTCTGTACACCATCCCTTCTTCTTGTTCGGTCAGCACAGAACTGCTTCGATTCACTAACGTATGGTTCGATCTGTTCCTTCTTTTTATTCCAAGAGACTTAGACAAAGCTACTCGGTACAAAAAAAAAAAAAACAAAACAATTAAAATCTATCATTTAAAACTACATGTGAAAGAAGGAACGAGGACCGAAAAGGATAGAGAACAATAACCTTAACTCCCATGGGTGATCAAAACAGAATTTCTCCTTACAATATCATTACAATATCAAGCAGATAATAATGAGAATATAGAGAAATATAAATTCCAAATTAAATAAAAATACCACTTCCTTTTTAAATCCACGACTCATACACAACAGTGGGTGTGTAGCTCGAACTAGGAGCCCGAGTATTTAATGCCGTCCGACAAAGTTACACAGAGTAGTAAACAACTAGTCATCACCTCTCGGGCTAAAACGTTTTTGTGTTGCCGCCGCCTGATTGGAAAACCCAAAAACCCAATGGGAAAAATAGTAACGTATTCCCCATCCAAATGCAGGCGCACCAACCTCTGGGGGTTAGAGATAAAACAGCTTAATTACTTGTAAGGTAAAATTTAACTTAAAACTAGAAAAGTTCGAGAGCTGAGATGAATACAAAAGACTCAATTAACGCCATAGCAGCCCACTCGCTAACATACCAATAGGAAAATATTTACATTCTTTGTCACTGCCACTTACAGTTTAGTTCCGCCGAATGTAAATACATATTCTCTGAACTAACATCACATGTATGGCAGATAGTAAGGAGAATTGCTAATAAGATCTTAAGAGTGAAAGGGTTAAAAGGAAATGCAACGGGAGAAATTGAAAAATTCATACCAAATCCACGGTCCGTCAGGGTACGCAGGGAGTGGCAAAGCTCCTGTGTCAATACAGTCCATATTTGGCTCGTTGCTGTACGCCTCTGTATCCCTTCCGTTTTGTTAATTACTTATTTCCTGTTTGTGCTTTTCCCTTCAGGAGACGTGGGCAGTCCCGCGGAAGCCACGGGTCATCTCCAACTCAAGGTGAGGTAACCAGGTTATACCCAGTGTACCTCGCGGTATTGTTAATTCGATTGATGAAAAGGGGGACATTTGGGTTTGCGGTGTTGCGGTGTTGAACCTTTTTGTTAATGCGGTATTGCGGTGAAGAACACCTCGCATTGCGATGTTGCGGTGATCTCAGACCTCTTTTCGTGGTGTCGGTGTGTTCATAATATTTCTTGCGGTTTTGTTGTGGTATTGCAGTATTCAGAACTCTTAATGTCCGAATTTTCCGCGACGTGTAAATTTATCTCCAACTTGAGGGAAACCGCAGATCTGTTCTTTGGTTGACGAACTCGTAAACTTCCGGCAAAATTCTTCAGGATGATTAAACCGAGATCTCTTTGTGACTCACTGAGAAACATAGTCTGAATATTGTTTTGCGACTTGAGTATATAAACCTCAGAGGCAGTGTAAAACTAAAGAAAGAAAGGAAATGGTTCGGAATGGAAATGTTTTAGCAATATGGTGATTTTCCTTTTTTCAAAATCCGCAAACCGTGCGTTAGGTCATGTGAGAAAAAAAGGAGCATGATTGTGGGTTGATAAAGAATAAGAAAAACCTGTTTTTCTGCTGGAGTTGGGTGTAAATACTGTAAATGAGATTGGTAATGTGTGGACAGATGTACTGAGTCATACCGGAAGTTTAGAGGTCAAGTTTCAACTGTTTGTGTGCAGAAGTAATGAGTCATTGATTTACGTTTTGGAATGATTCTTTCACCCCATTCTAACACAATCACAGTTTTGATGCACTTGGTTATCTTTATGACAAAAAACAGTACCCTTTTACCTCATGCCTTATTTTTAGGGATTAAATGCGCGATTCTGTGGAACAAATGCTTTTCTTACGCGTGGGTGTCTTCCTCATCTGTGATTATCTCTGTGTAGCTTGCGTGTACCTGCTAATGAGTATAGGAAATGTGGGAAGACAGGCAATGTGGGAAGGAAAGAGGTTACTCAACGAACTTTTTATGGAATGTTAGATTCCGACAATAACCTTATTTAGCAGTACCAGGCGTGAAAAAGCCCAATTCGAGAGCTCGGAAACTGAGGAATTTCTCCCTTTGAGCACCTGCCGTTTGCGGTTATATAGAAATGCCTCATTGAATTTACAAGCAACTAAACTTGACACGTTATTTGGGTAAATCCTCACTGCGTCCCTCAATACTGTTAGTAACCATCTCATTGCCTAGTGTGGGACCTTGGGTAAGACCTTCTGAAGAACTACACATCTGTGTCTCTCATTTGTTGTATTAGTACTCGGAAAGGCTAACTCGGCTGAAGTCTGATTGCCCAAATGCATAGAGATAATTTTTATCTAATACTTACCGTGTGTAGTATTCTTGGGTTATCATTTTGATATCATTTTCACTCTTTGGATGACAAATTTTGCTTATCTTTTGGCGTTTGTTCCTGGCCTAAGTTCATCCCTATTTTTAAAACGATTTCATTTATTGAAACTTTATTTGGAGAGCTCGTGCAAAGTCCAAATGGTGTGTTAATGTTTTACTCTTTGTGCGTGAAGAATTTCTGGATGAGCTCTCTTTTTTTTTTTTTTTTCTTTTTCTGCTCGGATAGGGTAACTTTTGCTCAGGATTTTTTTTTCATTTCAGATGCGAGACTATAACGCGTTATTTGACTGGTTGGAGAAGTTCAAGTTAGCGATCTACATCGATAATTTTGTAAAAGGAGGATTCGACATGACGAGTGTTCCTGGCATCACAGCGGAGGTAAGAAACTCTAGAGCCAATCATTCCTGCAGAATCATCATTACTCATTCAATTGTCATGAAAAAAGACAAGTCATTGATTTGTCACCTGATGAAATGTCGGCACGCAATGGAGTTTTTTATTGCCTCTTTCGCTAAGGTGATCTTTCTGCCACAAATTGATAATTTGAGCTATGTTTTCGAGTTTGTTCTAAACATGTCACAAATCACGTTTCTGATACTGAGAGTTTTTGTCTTTTTTAACTCTCTACACCCTAACATTAGTGTGCGTATTCGCCATACTGTTCTGTATACATTTCCTATAGTATTGACAAGGATAGCGTTGAAGGCGCGCTCTGATTGGCTAGTCAAACTCCGAACATCCTTTGCTATTTAGCTTCGAGCAATTCGGGAAAAAATGGCGTCCCGGTTTGCATCCGTGACAAGCGAAGAAATCGCTCAAATTAATTTTTGGTGGTGTATATTATCTCACTGTTTTAGTATATACTAAAACAACTATTTACCTCAGTGTCGGCGGTTAGCGGTGGGTATTTACCTCGCCGCTTCGCGGCTCGGTAAATATCCACCACTAACCACCTGCACTTCGGTGAATAGTTCTTAATTAAACAATGAAGAGCTGCTTCAGTTGGTGATCATTTCCTATATTCTCATGACCTTAATGTTTGGTTCAGGGGTGAAATTTTAAGGAGAAACTACATGCTCGTCACTCGAAGGGTTAAAGGGTTAGGGATCCAACGCATCGGTTATCTTACAGGACTTAACTTTCATTAAGAAAACTACGGATCTTTGGAGGGTTAATGCAATTCGTTTATAGTTGGAAAGTTAAGAAATTGTTTTCACGTTAATTGCGTTAGTTGTCGTGTTGAATTTTTTTGATCTTTCACCCTAACATGGAATGAAGACATGAAATATAAACGAACTCGACGTCATGTGCAATTTAAAATCACTTCGGTAAGGTGTTTATTACAGCCAGGTGCGTGAGGAAAAAATAAAGTCTCGCTTCTTCCACCATTAATTGCCTCCAGCGTGAGTGTTAGTTTTCAACGCGGTTGGTGTGCGAATGACCTTCTTACGAAACGGTGATGGAATCAACCTGAAAAAAAATTAGGCCGTGGGAATACCCAAAGCACGCAAATGAAACAAACTTTTGGTGTGGACTCGCCATATCGAACACAGTAAATCATGATTGACGAAACTTCCAAAAGCAGAGACTGCTCTGACCAAAACGTGATACCAACCTTGTGTTTAAAACACGGTCATATTTAATTTTGCCTGTACCCTTAGTGCTTTTTTTTTTTAAGTTGCTTTTTACATACTTTCTTTTCCTTGTCATTTGTTCAGGATTTGACGGCTATAAATGTGAATAAAACAGGACACAGGAAGAAAGTTCTGTCTGAGTCAGCGAAACTTGAGGAGACAACGGTGTTCCCGAAGAAAAAACCGGTGAGTTTCCGACATTCTGAGATTACTTAATTTTAACTCAATTGATAAGACGACTACAGGTTATAAGTTTTTCTGACAGAGTCAGTTACGAGTCAGACGCGTCAAGCGTGCTCAGGGCTTAATAAAAATCGTACATCAACATTTCGGGATTTCTATTTTAATAGGATAACAAATTTGTGGAACAACATACCTAATGATAGGCAGGCTGAGTCTATTGACTCTTTTAAGCGTAAACCTAAGTCGTTTTATTTCGAGAGACTTTTCAACGTTTTTGATGGCGACAACTTTCTTACCTTTAAAATAATTTGTCCTAAATGTCGCCGGGTAAATACCCTTGTTGCGTGCACTTGTTAAGCGGCCTATTACTAAATATTTAGTCTATTTAACAATTATTCCACTCGCGCTTGTTGGATATGAGATGATTATAGCCAACTCGGCGCTAAGCGCCTCGTTGGCTATCTATCATCTCATATCCAACGCGCGCTCGTGGAATAATTGTTAA